AAGAGCTGGATTACATCTTTGTTGTCTGTTTCGATCATAACATCGCGTAAGCCAAGGTTCCATGCTACCTCGAGGCCTACCACTACCCCCCATAGTTCAGCGTCTAACACTGAGCATCGTCCTATGGCTTTGGAGTAGCCGATAATCCATCTTTCATTAGGGTCTCGTACTGCTCCGCCACACGTTGTCTCGCCTGTTTCAATATTTCGTGCACCATCTGAGTTTAGCTTATACCAGCCGGCTGGAGGGGGTTCCCATTGATTTCTCTGCTCCGTTTGTTTGCGACAGAGTGGATTCTTTAAGCAACGTATGCCTGAAGCGTGTGAGGCTTCCCTTTGTAACCTTAAACCGAATTGTAGCACACTTTTCGTTTCACAAAAATCAGGTTTGAAAACAAACCTGTTTCATCGAATCCACAAGCTCTATATTATCGATCCAAAGGTCAAGTTCCAGTCCTCCTGGTTCAGCGGGAAATGGCTTTGGTTCTGCAGATTAGTGTGTACCCATTCTTTCATTGGCATGGAAAGAAATTCTTCTAATTTTCCATGTTTGATTAGTTCATGCCAGGTCGCCCTTGCTACCACACGCTCCCGGAATACGTGTGATATTGTCTCCATCGAATTTCCACAAAACGTGCAGGAAGCGTTGTCTGAGAAATGGCGTCGTTCAGCATTGGTCATTAATTGAATTTTTGTTATCAACCAGAGCAGCATGCGAATCCTTGGCAATCCCTTGTAGCTTGCGATCACTTTCCAAGCTTGTTCTTCTTCATTGCCTGTTATCAATATTCTGTTTTTGAAAATACTTTTCATTGAAAACTTCCTATTTTCCTCCCATCTCCACATTGGTTTTTCCACTTCTGTGTTGTTCAAGGGTGGTCGCACAGCCGCTATGATGAGTATAGCTGTTTGTGGTAGTGAGTTCCATAGTAGATCCTATCTCCAGTCTCCATCAGGGCCCACCATAATTTGAACTGAGACAAAGAGGTTAGGTGGTAGTTTTTCTCCAAGTTTGCAGTTAATTAATGGCCCTGTATCCGCTATTTAGACGTCCCTCCAAAAATCGACAGATTGTCCATTACCGAATGTCCAAATGATTCCTTCTCGTACTTCATTCCAAAGTGTGCTTATGCCTTTCCATAGTGGAGAACATCCTTGTCTTGTAACGCTTTCTGGCAGAAGTTCTCTAACTTAGTATTTTGATCTCAAGACTCGTGCCCATAATTGGTTTGATTGATCCACTAATCTGAATCCCATTTTTATTAGGAACGCTTCATTTCGAGATTGTAGGTCCCGAATACCACGTCCACCTTTTTCAATTGGTTGTTTTACCTCATCCCAACCGACAAGATTAAGGCCTCGTCGATTGTCTGTGTGTCCCCAAATAAAATCCCGTATAAGCTTTTCCATTTCGTCACATGTGCCTTTAGGAATATAACAAGTCTGCATTGCATATGTTGGTAGAGTCGCAGGCACTGATTTTGCCAAGACCACTCGTCCTGCTAGAGTTCGAGTCTTCGCTGTCCATCCGGTTAGCCTTTCTCTTGTTCTTTGAACCATATATCCATACGTTTCTCGTGTAACACACTGGTGGAGGAGTGGAACACCTAGGTATTTCCCAAGATTATCCACCCGGGCGAATTGGAACCCCTCGCTTATATCCTTTTGTAGTGAGGTTTCTACATTATGGGAAAATAAAATATTAGTTTTTGCGAGGCTAATCTTGTGTCTAGAGCTCTCACTAAATTCTCGTAACACGTTTTTAATCACATCAAGTTGTTCTAGTGATGCTTATGCAAACATGATCAAATCATCCGTGAAAAAAGATGTGATAACTTTGGACCATCTTTTGTTAATTTTATCGGTCTCCATTCCCCACTTTCAATTTCCACTTGAATTGCTTGGGCTAGTATATCCATGCATAGTACAAATAGGTAGGGTGATAACAGATCATCCTGTCGAATACCTCGTGTGGGTTTAAATAGTTCTAAATAATTTAAATATTTAACTGTTAAAAATCATTATTTGTAGACCATGAGGGAAAATCATTATTTAAGAGATTTTTTAAAACAAGAAAGATGGTTTTTTTGAAATTATTTTTTAAAATATTATAAAAATTAAAAATTAAGACATGTGTTAATCATTGATTAGTTTTTAATAATTCTTTTGATAATTGTAACTGATCAAATACCTAAAATTATAACCTCACAAATGTAAATAATAATATAAATAATAGAAAAAAACATTATACACCTAAACGAAATAAAAAAGTATAATTTAAACTATTTTCTTTTATATTGAACCTAACTTAGTGTAATATAGTTGAAAATTCATTAAACCTATAACATTTCCTTTTATATTACAATGGAGTTTGGTTTAATTATTTTTGTTTTAATTGGAAAAAATTCTTCATTTAATTTGATTTTTAATGAATTAAGGAAGCATAGAAGATTTTTTGAGAGTTTATTTTCTGTAGTTGGACCGAGAATCATTGTTTTCGTTTTGGGTGGTTCCTATAAAAGTTAGATCTCTACCGAGTGCATCAAATGCATGGTGTAATTGTATGTGTTGTTATTGTAGTTTATGCATCGATATATTGTACTCTTTTTTTTCTAAATAAGTTTAGTGAATTTTTTTTACGATGAATGTACTTTTGTTCCATTTATCAAATAAAAATGATCATTTCCTTTTTTTAAAAAAATATTTAATTGATTTAATTTGTGGCTGTAGGATTTTTTTCTCGGTATCTAGGAATATTTTATAGGATGTTGCCGATAATTTTATCATCTCCGTGCTTACAATAAATAAATAAAAATTATTAAGATCAATTTCAATGTGTGGGATTTTTATATAAATCAAATCAATTAAATTAAACAAGTGATCTAACTTTTAAACAAATCTAATCAATACAAATTTTAAGTGATCTACTTTTTTTATTAAGTGATCTAATTTACTAACATGAGTTTAGTTAAAGCAAAATATACCTTTCAATTGCAGGGATGTGAAAAAGCTTATCTAATATGTAAAACTGACTGAAATTAATTTGATTCAAAATTATTTGTGATTTGGAGGTGGTGATTCGAAACTGATTCGAGTCTGAATTGGCGTTGACCTAAACTTAAGTTCGACCTGGAAATAGTGGATTTGAATCGACCTGCACATGATATGAGAACGACCTGAATCCGAATTGAACTAATAATATGATAATCAAACCTAACCTGGATCTGACTGATATGAATCCGAACTCGAGATTAACCTGATAAATAACTAGTATTATCATACATGTTATGAACCTGACATGTTATGAACCTCACTTGTAATTAGCTAAACCTGTAAATGATTTAATTTGTTATTGAACTAATATGATATTTATTTGACTTATAAGTTACAATTATAAGTAACAATTGATAAAATTGTGAGATTTTGAATTTATAATAAATTATGAAAATTAATATGATTCATTTATAAAAGTTAAAACAAACTATGATAATTAATATGATTATATATATATATATATTGAAAAATAAATCTTATTATATCAGGTCCACTACAATATATAGAAATGCATATTACAAATAAATTTCTTAAATCCAAATACAAGCTCAATCTATGTTTTAAAATTTGAAAAGCTTGATTCCAACTATTTTTTTTTTGTCGCTCATGACTTCATCTTTGGAAGGAATCTTTGATTTTCTTTTGCTGAAGGGATAAGCAAACAATTAATGTGATGTAACTTTTGAGGAAAACATTAATTGTTTTGCCACCTCATCAATATATATATATATATATATAATTTATGTATACTGTTTTTTAATTAGTATAATTTTTATTATTTTTACATTTTAAAAAATTATAATTTTATTAAATTATAATTTGATTGTTCAAAGTATAATGTATATTATATATACATGCATAAGTATAAGTATATATATGTGTGTGTATGTATGTATATAATGTATATATATATACTTTATACATATGTATATACTTATACATTTATATATATACTTTATATTTATGTATATACTTATATATATATATATATTTCATACTATCTTTATTTATAATTTCATACTTGTTCAATTTAGTCCTTAAAATTATATTTGTATATGAAATTGACCCATACTTATTTATATTTTTATAATTTACTTCAAACCTTATAAATCACATAATAAATTTCATTTCAAATTCTATAAATTATATATAATCTCCAAACCCTATAAATTTTTGTTCACCAACATTTTAAATGGATGCAATTTAGTATATTTTATATTAATTTCAACTTCATATTTTATAATTATTTTGATTCAATCCCTCCTCCATGCATGTTGTTTAATTTATTTAAACTTTTATTTATAATTTCATTTTTGTTCAATTTAATATTTCAAATTATATTTTTATCCAAATTGACCCATAATTATTTATATTTCTTAATTTATTTTAAATCATATACAATTACAAATTACAATTTGACGTTCTTAAAACACTAAAAGGCAAAAAATAATTAACCAAAAAATAATTTGACCTGAAATCAATCCGTATCCGATAAAGATTCAACCTGAATTTTGTCTATCAATGATGTGACCCGATCTGAACGAGATCAGACTAAAGTCAATCCGAACTTGAATTAACCTGGTATTTAACTATTTCAGACCTGAACCCTTTTAACTTGAACGGACATCGATCCAAACTGAAATTAACCTGACATAAACCCGAATTGAATATGATGTCAAATCAACTTGAAAATGATCCGAACTGATTTGACCCATACTCGATCTAATCCGAACCATTAAATTAACTTGACTCAATTTATATTCAATTTAACTTGACCTGACAAGATCCGACTGAAACCTAAATTATTAGCTAATTTAAAACCATTTAAGTCTTTTAAATATATTTCTCTTAATTTGATGGTGTCTGCTTTTTTAAATTGAGTTTGGTTGGTGGGATGCTGACTCGTTTTTTCTTTATCGCATTGTATTTCTTTGGTCCATTTTTTTATTTCGATGCTAAATACCCATTTCTACATTTCTCAACGTATGGCTTCCACTAAATGTGTACCGACAGGTTTTGCTTTCTCTGTACTTACTGTTATTATTTATTTCTTTAGCTTTGTTAGAAGCAAGAATGAACATATTCTTAGCAATTGCAAGTTTGATGCCATATATCAGCTGGGGGATTCCATAGCAGATACTGGTAATTTTGTGCAAGACAACCCTTCTTCGGTATTTGCAGGGTTACCCTACGGTGAAACCTTAAAGAAACCAACTGGCAGATGCTCTGATGGCTTGTTGATGATTGATTATATAGGTAAAAAAATGAATTCCCTATGCTTTCTTTTTGGAGAGTAAAAACAATCTTGTTGATTAAAGGGTAAAAGTACCAGTAATAAACAATCTATTCTAATTAGAAATCTTTATTGAGATCAAATATGTGTTTAGAGAAGAATCCATCACTTTTGCCCTCCAAAAAGTGTCTACCCCATACCAGATATGCTTTAGGTAGTGGATCAGTTGTACACAAGAAGATGCCTAATTCGATTTCTGGGGATTTAGTTAAATTTTTAAGTAGTGTGTTGCTGTGTCGTGTTTTGAACATTTGAATGCAGCACTATCTGCTGGACTTCCTTTTCTTGATGCCTACTTAAACAAAGATGGAGTATTTTATCATGGGGTTAATTTCGCTGTTGCCGGAGCTACTGCCATGTCTGTGGAAGATTTATACAAGAAAAACATTTCCTTTGTGCCTACCAGCATGTCTCTAAGTGCACAACTTGACTGGATGTCTAACTATTTCAAAACGACTTGTCATTATGCCAAAGGTTAGCATCTTTACATGGTCGTATATTTGATCAGAATGGATTGACACAATAATGACCCACTTAAGGTGTTATGTTTGATAGATTGCTTCAACAAAAATGGAAGAGCCCTTTTCATGGTTGGGGAGATAGGAGGAAATGACTATAACTATCCCTGTTTCCAAGGGAAAAACTTAGCCGAGGCTAAGACAATGGGGCCCGAGGTTGTCCGATCCATAAAACATGCTGCAAAAGTAAGTTTCCCTTTATCAAACATTTGATGGTATCACTTGTAGTCAAGTTTCCTTTTATCAAACATTTGATGGTATCACTTGTAGTCATTTGTAGCCTTGTTCCTCATATTTTGAGTTCCACTTTGTAGAGAGTTATCGGATATGGTGCTAAACGGTTGGTTGTACCCGGAAACTTCCCCATAGGCTGCTTTCCTGTGTATCTCTCTTTATTCCAAACGAATGATGCTAGTGCTTATGATGAACTTCATTGTCTAAAGGAGTTGAATCAGTTTTCAGTTTATCATAATGATCTTCTTCAGAAAGCAATTGATGAGCTAAAAGAAGAACATCATGATGTGATCATTGTCTATGGTGACTACTACAATGCATTCGTGTGGCTTTTCACCAAGGCTAATATGCTTGGTAAGTCTGTTTCATTTGCAATCATTAGTTTTCGAGATTGTACTTTTAACTGTTTTGGTCGTTTTTTGTTTTCGAAAAAAAATTGTCATCAGGTTTTGATCCAACATCATTGCAAAAAGCCTGTTGTGGACTCGGAGGAGACTACAATTTTGATCTTTCAAGTTTGTGCGGAGATCCAGAAGTAACCGTGTGTGAAAATCCTGATGAACGACTGAGCTGGGATGGAATTCATTTGACGCAAAGAGCTTATGAGTTAATGGCAACATGGCTCATCCACGACATCTATCCGAAACTTCAATGTGAATATGTTGCTTCATATAGTTCTGCAGCCTAGTTTCTGCAGGAACTTGTTTGGTGTTCCATCTTCAAATTCACTGTTGTACAAAGTACCCCAACAAAAAAATTCATTACTGTGATATGTTATTCCAAAATATTGGTCTCAAACATGATTGCTCATTTCATTGAAGAACTGTTGTCAACAAACACAATTGTGTAATTCGAATTAGGAGTTCAATCACTACATCTCATCTTAATTCCAGGTAAGCTTGAATGTCATATATATATATATATATATATGCTATGCACTCTTCATCTTATTGAAGGCTGAGGGTTGAATTTTTTTCTTCTGGTGTTGATGTTATCAGCTGGAGGTGGTTATTATCTAATGTCTTTTTGGTGACGTGTTATGAGCTAACGGTGTTTGTTATTTTGTTAAGCCTTGCCTGGTGAGAAATTATTTTATGAACTCTTTCCGTCACATATTTTTCTCCATGTTATTGTATAGAGAAATTATTTTATGGACTCTTTCCGTCACAAATATTTTTCTCCATGTTATTTATATACAAGGATTTTATTTTTCAAATCAATTTATTCATTAACGCGTATTAAAATTAAACTTTAATTTAAGAATTATTTTTGGATCTTCATTAATACCCTTTTCTTCTCCATCAAAACAATCTTCTTTCTCTTACTCCACTGCTTTTCTTCTCTGCCCAATCGATTTGTTAAGTATCACCATTTACAAGTGAAAAATTGGTATTTTGAACAACTTCTCATTAAAACCTCATACAAGAGAAGCCAACATCATGAACGAAATGATCATAGATTTTGAAAGAGCAGTTATCTAGGGAGAACAAAAGCTTAGGCCACATCATTCAAGTCCTTTATACATTTAAGTGTTTTAAACCTCAGAAGCAAATCCGATATCTATCGAGCGTGCTTTCAAAAGAGACGAAGAACATGAAAAACATGGGAGAAAATGAGCTTATTTGTCATAAGATGATGTATCCAAGTGCGGTATTTACGTGCCATTCGATCAGATGAGACGAAAGTCAGCACATTAGTTGTCTGTCATGAAGGTACATCGAGTTAGAACCCAAAGCATTTGGCATTTCAAGTTCTCAAAGTTAAACTTGGAACGACCCCATTTATCATTTTTCTATGTAGAAATATTATTATCTGGGTTTTCAATTGAAGAACTAAATGATGTTTCAAATAAGTGAGCATTGTCTCTTTAAGTGTGCTTGTATTTTTATAACGTTCCTATGAGATGCATGGACTGTATTTCCAATGGGGTGTTAGATGTATATTTATTTTTAGAGCAACCACCATAGATAAACATATTAGCTCCGATAAGATGACCTCTTGTCAACAAACACAATTGTGTAATTTTAAGTAAGAGTTCAATCACTACATCTCCTCCTAATTGCAGGTAAGCTTGAATGTCATATACATATACATGCCATGCAGTCTCCATCTTTAAAAAAGTATCTGTCTCACCCTGTTTTGAAAAAACTTTTTCAATTCCGATACAATTTAATTTCGAGTTCAATCAAATGAATCGGATTGAATGGATGAGTTTTCCCGTACCTATTTTTTTTTCAATTCCCTTTGAATCTTCCTTTGCTTGTTTCTTGAGGTTTGGTATAAGGTGATGCTATCACTTTATTCTTCCTATTTTTGATGCTTTACTCTACCTGTCCTAGGCAAGCAAAGGATTAACATTGATTCTTATTTTTATTGCCTAGGACAGGTAGAGTAAAGCATAAAAAATAGGAAGAATAAAGTGATACCTGCCCTAGGCAAGCAAAGGATTAACATTGTTTCTTATTTTTATTGCCATTTAGTAATATTAGGTGATGGAAAAAAAAACGAGTAATTCTCTCTCTGGTTATCTAAAAATGAGTTCGCATGATGAAGCTGATTCAGGGAACATTGGTGTTTTCAATGATTATGAAGATTCTCAACCAGCAACTCCTACTATGGAACTACCAAGGGTTATGGCAGCAAAAGCACAGGCCCAAGCTCCAATAATTTCATCATACAATGACGAAATTCGACCAATGCTTGATGTCATTGACAGACTCAGGCTTCTTATGGTGATGACAGAAGGCATACAACTCCCCACAATAGTTGTGGTCGGAGACCAGTCATCAGGAAAGTCTAGTGTTCTTGAATCCTTGGCCGGTGTTAATCTTCCTCGTAGCCAGGGCATTTGCACCAGGGTACCTCTCATTATCCGCTTGCAGAATCATGCATGTCCAAGGCCAGAGGTTTACTTGGAGTACAATGGCAAAATTTTTCCATCGGAGGAATCCCAGATTGCAACAGCCATAAATATCGCAACTGATGAGGTTGCGGGCCGTGGTAAGAACATATGCAACACCCCGGTAACTTTAGTGGTGAAGAAGGATGGGGTTCCTGATCTTACCATGGTTGATCTTCCTGGAATCACTAGAGTGCCCGTCCATGGTCAGCCTGAAAATATACATGAGCAGATCAGAGACATCATCATGCAGTACATAACACCTAAGGAAAGCATTATCCTTAATGTTTTGTCAGCCACTGTCGATTTTTCAACTTGTGAATCCATTAGATTGTCGCAGCAAGTGGACAAGACTGGTGAGAGAACTCTTGCTGTGGTTACTAAGGCCGATAAGGCCCCTGAAGGGCTTCTCGACAAGGTTACTGCAGATGATGTGAGTATAGGACTTGGTTATGTTTGTGTTAGGAATCGTGTCGGTGATGAGTCCCAAGAAGAAGCAAGGAAGGAAGAGGCCAGATTGTTCGAAACTAATACACATTTATCAAGTATTGATAAATCTATGGTGGGTGTTCCAGTGTTGGCCCAAAAGCTTGTTCATATTCAGGCTAATATCATTGCAAAGTGCTTACCAGAGATTGTGAAAAACATTGGTGCAAAGCTGGCTGCAAACGTTTCAGAGCTAGAGAAAATGCCAAAGGCTTTCAGTTCAATTGCTGAGGCCACGCAAGCTCTTATGAGGATCATTGGAGCAGCTAAAGAATCCATCAAGAAACTTCTTTGGAGAGGGGAATTTGATGAATACCCTGATGACAATACAAAGCACGGAACTGCTCGGTTCATCCAAATGATCAATAAGTTTTCCGATGACCTTCACAACTGCGAGGAAAGTAATCTTGCAAAAGACTTTTTAGCAGAAGAGATCAAGGTTTTGGAAGATGTTAGAGGAATCAAACTACCAAACTTCCTTCCATGCGAAGCATTCCTCCGTATCCTACAAAGAAAAATCGAGAGGATATTGCATCTTCCAATCGAATTTTCTGAAAATGCTTGGGATTACATAGATGATGTGGTGATGTCAGTTTTTACGCGCCACTCAGAAATGTATTACCTCCTCAAGGTACCCGCCAAAAGAGCTGCTCACAAGCTTGTTCAAAATATGAGGGAGCAATCAATCAATAGGGTGAAGGAGATTGTTGAAATGGAAAAACTGACAGGCTATACTTGTAACCCAGATTACATGGCGGAGTGGACGAAGCTCATGAGCCAACAAGACTGTTTCATAAGTCGAGTAAATACCGGACCAAACATGTTGCAGCCGCCTTCCTTGTTGGTTCTTCAAGGTATTGGGGAAATTGCAATTGAACATCTGAGACAGCATAAGAATGGTTTGCTTCTGCAGCAAGCTTTTGACTTGAAGATGAGAATGTGTGCTTACTGGAAGATATTTAAGGTGAGATTGGTTGATTCCATGGCATTGCATTTACAGTATAGTGTTCATAATCTTGTGAACAATGACATGGAGGAGATTGTGAAGGACTTGATGGGAGCAGATGGGTATGGAATTGAGAGGATGACAATGGAATCCCCTGTAATGGCTGCAAAGCGTGCGAAGCTCAAAAGGAGCATCGAGCTGTTAAAGGAGTCCAAAGATAGTGTGGACAAGATCATGGACAGGATTGCTGTTTATGACTATTAACTACTTAAGTTGTTTTTTTTTTCAAATCAAATTTATGTCTTAATGCTTTGCTTTATAGCGTGCTTTTAAGTTTGTGTGTGTTTTCTATGTGATAATATTTTACAGAAATAATAAAATGGACTAATTAATCCTTTAAATGTTAAACTCTTTATATTGATTTGGAATACAATGTTAAGCTCTGTTTTCTGAGAGCCAATGAAGTTTGTCTATCACCCAACAAATAAACTTGTATCCTGCTCTTTCTGTTCAGTCCAACTATAGCCAGGATCCTTAACAATCTGTTTGTCGCTCATCAGCTCTCTGATGGCCCTTACATCATCCCATCTTCCTAAAGAAGAATAGATATTGGCTAGAAGCACGTACGGTGTGGGGTTTTCAGGGTCAAGCCGGAAGAGTTCCTGTGCTGCTCGTTGAGCTAAGCTGACAATTCCATGGACTCTACAACAACTAAGTACAACTTCCCATACAACTGGATCATCTTTATGTGGCATCTGCTCCATAAGGAGCTCCACGTCATGAAAATGACCGGCTCGACCAAGACAATCGATGATGCAAGTATAATGATCTAATTCTGGGTCAACCCCATGCTCACTCTGCATTGAGTTGAAAATTCTGAAACCCTGATCTACTAATCCTGAGTGACTACATGCAGTCAGAACAGAAATAAATGTTATGGGATCAGGTTTTACACCTGATGCAATAATGTCTTCATATAGACGAACAGCCCCATCTCCACGTCCATTCTGAGCATATCCGTGTATCATCTCATTCCATGTAACAACATTTCTTACAGGCATCATATCGAAATGCCTCCGTGCCTCATCTATGTCACCACATTTACAATACATATCAACAAGAGCAGTGCCCACAAACACATCACTCTCGTAGCCGTCTTTCACTACCTGAGAGTGGATCTGTCTGCCTTGAAATAAAGAAGATAGTTTTGTACAACAGCTCAATACTGTTGCATAAGAGAACTCGGTAGGCGACATTCTACCACGTAGTATTTGCTTAAAGAGCATGAAAGCTTCTTTGTTTAGAGAATTAAGAGTAAGACCTGCAATCATAGAATTCCAACAGACAATATCTAGCTCCAGCAGAGAAGAAAATATGTGCCCTGCCATTTCTGTCTTCCCACACTTTGAGTACATGCCAATCAGTCCACTAGCAACATAACTGTCGGTATGAAGAGCTGCCTTTTGCAGCGCAGCATGGACCTGTTTTCCACCCTCCAGAAAGTCCATCCCAGCACATGAGCCAAGGATGACGGTCACAGTAGTCCGATCAGGTTTTACACTTTGAAACTGCATTTCCCTGAAAAGATCTATTGCTTCTTTGTGATTCTTATTCTGGGAATAGCCAGAGATTATAGCATTCCATGAAATAACACTCGGACACGACATGTTATCAAACATCTGACGTGCAGTTTCAACATCTCCACACTTTACGCATGCTGCAAGCATATTAATATAAGTAACCTCACCAGGTTCAAAACCACAAAACTGCAACCTTTCAAAACACTCTATAGCTTTCCCACCATTTCCTTTCTGGCCATATCCAGCAATCATAATATTCCAGGAAACAACACTGACTTTTCCCAAATTATGAAAAACTATCTCAGCATTGTTCATAATCCCATTCTTAGCATACATATCAAGCAACGAATTACTAAAATAAAGATCATTTTCAAATCCAAGCTTAATTGCAAGACCATGTACTTGTTCCCCAAGTACAACATTACATGATAATCTATCACTATCTTCATAGCAACCAGATTCACCATACTCTCCCCCCTTTGCACAAACAGTCAAAACAGCAGACAAGGAAACAGAATCAATCCGAACACCTTTTCGACACATCATTCTAAACATCTCCAAAGCCTCAAAGACCCCGTCAATACTTCCTAACCCACCCATCATTGAAGTAAAAGTAACTTCATTAGGTTCATCGATATCCGAAAATATTTGAACAGCATCTCTCATAACCCCACATTTAGCATAAACAGACAATAATCCGTTACAGACAAATATATTCTTATCAAGACCGATCTTAATAACAAGACCGTGGCATATCTTCCCAAGCTGCAAATCCGAAACGCTTCCACAAGCACTTAAAACGCTAGCAAAGGTAATATGGGTAGGCAAAAAACCTTCCGTAACCATAAGCTTATAAACATCCAACGCTTTGTAATGGTACCCATTTTTTAACATTAAACTAATCAAGTTGTTCCAGGAGACAGCGTTTCTTTCAGGCATTTGTTCGAACACCTTGCGTGCAAAATTTAAGTTTCCAGCTTTGCAATGGAAGCTCAAAATGGCATTCCATGAATAAATGTCCTTGCGAGGGGTATGGTGGAAGGTGCTGTCAACAGAGGACGAGTCATTGCATTTGGAGTAGAGTTCGATGAGACGATTGCATAGGAAAGTGTTGGCTAAAAGGTTGTTACGGAGAACATTAGCGTGGAGGACTTTGCCTAGAAGAAGAGATTTGTTGTCTATGCAAGTTTGCAGAAGGTTAGCAATGCCATTCATCTTGCATTTGCTCCCCATTTTTCTGCACTGCTCGCGGAATACACAAACCGAGTCGCAACTCAAAATCTCATGATTCAAATAGAAATCAATCTTCAGGTTAAGTATCGGGTTTCAAATTTTGCCTTTCTTAATTTCCTGGCATTTGGTTTCGTCTATCAGGAAGCTTTAAAAGCAAGATAGGGCTTGGGTTTCAAAAAGACTCCGAACTTATCCAAAAAAATTATATAAAAAAATGAGAGAGAAGGAAAGCTTTAAAAGCTTCGACTGCAGGTGTTTGTATTGTATGACATAGATATCCTTTAGAAGAATATTATAAAACTAAAATATGGACAAATAAATGCTTCTTCTCTCAAGCCCTGCCCAGTAACAAAATAAACTCCTACAACTACTATACAATAGCTTAATGACTTGCCCTTTTAAAAACGGATCAATAGGCAAGGCCCCATTGACATGAAACAAAAGGGTTCAACAAAAACGGCAAGCTCTTTAAGTTCAGTCATCCATGGCGGTTTCCCTGCTTCACCAAGGTCATAATTTACCATTGCCGAGCACGATATATGAATGCGGTTAACTTAGTTGATCAACCTGAAAAGTCCAGAAAGATTTTGTTTACTTCTACTTCCACATGATAACAATTATGTTACGAATGCAGAAGCAGTGAAGAGTACCATTCACTTGTGTTTAAGCTCTTGAATCCTCCAGAGTGGTATGATTCACCATCATCTGATGTCTCATAGAACTCGAAATCTTCATAGAACTGTAAATTCCATGAATAAGAGATGATTAAAAAACGGATGTAAATTTATCCATACTTGCTATGTTTTATGTGTCAACATGTACACAAACCTCGTTGCTAAAAAGCTTAATAACTTCGAATAATAAAAGAATAGATGCAAAACTTTGTTCTATATTGAAGTTTGGAGAATCGATATGCTAACTTTCAAGTTCAAGAAGGGAAGCAAATAAGCTCAACCACGGCAGAATATACAAAACCCACCAGGGAGAAAGATTTAGAGAAGCTAATTATCACGCCAAATCACAGCTAATCATATATCAGTTCTAGTTGAAAACATTAAGATCCAGAAACAGTTATGCTGACGATAATCATGTCAAGATGATAGGATCATGAGTTCAAAATCATGTATCTTTAGAATCACCGGTTTATAACACAGGAAACAGAATCCACAAACAACTTCAGGTTTAAGAATCTACACAAGTTTTATGATTAAACATTCAAAATGTATCCACATTGTTATCAAAAGCAGAATAATTGATATCATCAATCATGCCAAAAACGCGTTTAGGTTACACTAGACATAGTTTAAATCAATTTAACACGCATAAACTCTTAACACCATTCACCTTCATAATATTTTTCTCCTCTTCAACCACATCCTTCATGTAGGCTGAGTCAATGAGAAAGCTGTGCATAATTGCTTTATTTAATTTGATTTTTAATGAATTAAGGAAGCATAGAGGATTTTTTGGGTGTTTATTTTCTGGATCGAGAATCATTATTTTCGTTTTGGGTGGTTCCTATAAAAGTTACATCTGTACCGAGTGCATCAAATGCATGGTGTAATTGTATGTGTTGTTATTGTTGTTTTTGCATCGGTTGTAACCCCTAGACCCGGCCTATGTGTTTCGGCTAAGTCTAGAAGATTTCATTAAAGATTCTGAAAGACATTTTTCCAAAAACATTTTTCAGTAATTTAAAATCATGTTACAAATGACCTTTATATATAAGTATATAAAAATTAACGATAAAAACTTAATTCGAAATATAAAACATGAAAGATATCAGGTAAAATATTACATAAAATAAATCCGGAGCATCGAAAATCAAATATCAATAACAACAGAAAACGTCATAAAACGATAAATACTTCAGAAATAAGGTACATGTCACCATAATTAAAAACAGTTCGGAAAACATAATATTACAACAAAATACTCTAAACTAAATGTACCAATCCTCCAAGTTCCTGATACGGAGTGTCTATCCGAGAGTATCTCAAAGGGGTAAAACAATTTGAAAAGTGAGCTAGAGGCTCAGTGTGACCCAACAGTGCCAAAATAAAAAAAAAACATAGAGTTATGATTTTCAAAAGCAGTGCAGATTACAATCATTAAAACATCATAGGAGTTTTTAATTTAAAAACTCCGCATCGTCCTCCAACCGAACGCCATGTGCAGATCCCCAGAAATGCACAACCTAAGGGAGTACCTTGGGGGCCTGCGAGCCTACCCAAGACAATTCCCGGGGCCACAAAGGCTTACCCAAGAAAATCTCAAGGCCGCAGAGCCTACTCAAGGCTCGACTTAGGTCCATAAGGAATTACCAACCGGTGCTGAACCTATCAGAGGAATTACCAACATCGATTGAACCTGCTAGAGTCTTCATACCATAACCCAGAGTACCCCGTAGAAAACATTTTTCAGACGGTAACCAGTAGTAACAATAATTCAGAGTTCAGACTGATTATCAGTTCAGTAATCCAGTGTTCAGAGATCAGAAATCGGGCAATCATGCTTTTCATTTCAGTAAATCCAAAATCAGGTAATTTATACAGTAGTCAAATCAGATTAAACAGTATATTTCAAATCATAGAAAACAATCATGTGCACATGAGATTTCAAACATATATTTAAAACATTTATACTGCACATAAGGAACACACCTCGCTAATAGGGTCATTCACCATTCTGTTCAATTCACTAAATTAAAACACTTAGATAAATATGAATTTTCCAGGTTTATGGGCTAATTCGGAGGCTTTCGAGTATGAATTTGACCTAACGGATTGCGGAATCGAAATCAGGACGTCGAAAAACATAAAATACAACTTTTCAAAAATTTGAATTCTCAGTCAAAGTCAAAGTCAACGGGTTTGACTGACGATTTGGAGGCCTTCGGGTTTGAATTTGGTGAAACAGACTTCGAAAACAGATTCGGCACGTAGAAAAATATCAAAATAGGTATCCTCGAACAAAATCAAATGTCGTTTAATGGCCGGTTAAAGCCGATTAAAGTTATGGTCAAAGGTGCTCAAAAGTCCACAGTCAACTATTACGAAAATAACACCTTTTTTTAAAATAATTACAAAAATATCACCTTTTCGAAATAATTACCAAAATATCACTTTTTGAAATAATTACCAAAATATCACTTTTTGAAATAATTACCAAAATATCATTTTTTTCAAAATAATTACCAAAATATCACTTTTTTGAAATAATTACCAAAATATCATTTTTTTGAAATAATTACCAAATATCATTTTTTTCGAAATAATTACCAAAATATCACTTTTTCGAAATATTTACGAAACTAACACCTTATTAACAGTATTTACGAAACTAACATTTTTTAACAATATTTACAAAAATACCACTATAACCGAAATTAATTACATATTAGTCACTCTTTTAAAACTATTTATCAACAATCTAAACCAACAACAACTATAATATGTTTTCAATCTAAACACTGAAATATTATTCAGATTAAACGATATGCCTTTACCTACGACGAACAGACGAAACAAGACGGTCATTGAAATGGTCGGAATCGACAAAATTAAAACGACGATCGGGGTTTTGGGTATCTATTTACCTTCTATATTCGACCTAACTATGACCGATTTCGGAGCGAGATTGGTCGGAATCGCTTCTCGAAGGTCAGGCGCACCTGATGGAGGTGGCGGTGTTGTTCACCGCCGGCTGGAACAAGGAGGAGGAGGAGGGGCGGAAGCTATTCTTTTAGAGGGGAAAACTGAGTCTAAAACACAAAGAATGGTTCTGCTATAACAGTTAATAATCACCCTAAATTTAAAAAATAACACCACCAACTATTATTTCAAGAAAAAAAATAAAAACAAGACCTAGTGGTTAGGCCATTGTCTACCACTACCTGATTAAAGAATTCAAAACCCCATGACCACCCCTTATTTTAATCTTAGTGCTATTAATATATATATATATATTGTGGCAATTATGGGGTATGACAATTCTCCCCCTCTAAAAGAAATTTCGTCCTCGAAATTCATCAGATTCTGATAAGAAAGTGAGATTAGGTCTCTGATAGATCCTTTATTGGACAAAGCTAATTTGATAATATCAGAATATCTTAATAAACTCGGAGCGGAAACAGGGTCTCGGTGCCTTAATCCAAAGTCTTAGGATCTTCTGTTACTAAACTCAGGTATAGAATTGGGTGTTGATAGAGATGTATGGTATGAAACAGAATTAACAATAAATATACCTACAGAAGTATCGAGCTCAAATCGATCAATGGAGCTTCGGGTAGCATAAACAAGAACAGGCTGTCGAGCCTCAGAAGCATCTGGTCCTCTACTCTGGAATCGGGTTCTACCATCGACCTTAGAAACAAACCCGGAAGTCCTACCCTGACTATGACTCATATCTGGAGTCTGAACAGAGGCCTGAGAACGTATAGGAGTTTGAATAGGTGTCTGATCAACATGAGCTGGATATGGACAATTTCTCAAGAAGTGTGTGCTAGATCCACAACGAAAACAGGTACCGATCTTCTTACGACACTCTCCTCCGTGTTGATTTCCACAGAACTCACAACTCAATTTTGGAGCAGAATATACAGAATCCTCTCGACTAGCTACAGTATGTGGAGGAGATACAGGCCTCGAATCAGACCGACTCATCTGATGAGGAACAGTACGAGATCTTTTATCAGGGCGTGCAAAAGGTGCAGTCTGACCAGAAGGCTTCCTAGATCGTTCTAGAGCTACTCTATCATTATCAGGTGCAGAAGCCTCGACTTCTCCGCATATTTTGCTCTCCCAACTACAACATCGAATATCTCGTCCTGATGAGTAACTACCTGACGACGCAACTCGAATCGAAGTTCCTGAGCAAACTTTCGGCATCTATCTCTCTCGGTAGGTACCAAACTGAATCCATACTTCAGCAATTTCAAGAACTCAATCTCGTACTTAGAATCGGTCATATCTCCCTGAACCAGGTCCTGAAACTGTTGTCGTCTCTGAGCTAAATAACGTTCTCCCAAGAAACGGCTCCTAAAGTGCTCTCTAAAGAAATCCCAAGTCAAACGATCGGTCTGAACAC